CTGCAAGAACAACTTTATTTAATAAAGATAGACTACTAATTACGAGACAACTACAACCAGGCTAAGGAAGTGTTAGGTTACATTCACAGCAATATAACACACAGACTTTTTTGTTTGGCCATCATATTTAGAGACTGACGTGGACACAATGTAATGTCCACCTGATAGCATAGAGTCCAACAACACTGTAATGGCCCTAAGAAAAAAACCAACAGAAATACTTGAACTCAAAACAGCTAGAAAAGGAGGCACTGACCATGAACCACCTACTTCTCCACCAGACCAGATGTTCCCCAGTTAGTGCTACGTCACAGGGCATGTCTTCCTCAGGGCTGAGATAGCCCGTCGCTTACCTGAACTTCAAAAAGAAAAGAAAAGCCCTAAAGTCCTAAAGTTGGTGATTTACTTTTTCCCTCATAAACGAGGGTGGATTCAGGTTACTTCTCTAATGTCACTCCCACTCATATTCCAATGCACTTGGCTCGGAGAGATACAGAACTACAGCTGATAGGTTAGAAACCGTAAGCCGAGTCCGCCTTATCTTCACTTCCATCTGGTTGGTTAAGAGGGTGTGTATTTAAAGAACAGCCACTACACACCATGGCTTCCTCCAGGACAGGGACCGTTACTTCACTTTTTTTTTTTCTGAGAAAGGAAACTCGCTATAGTATCTGCCTGCTTACGAAAGCTTAAAAGAGGACAGTGAAGACCTGGGGATGATTCCAAAAGATGGAATGAAAGGGACAAACATTTTAAAAAAGAAATGAAGGAAAAAAGCAAAGGACCACAAGAGGTTTATTATTCATTATTTTAGAAACTGTAATTGGATTCAACATAAATTTAAAAAACACACACACAACAGAACATACAGTACATAAGATAAGCCCAAAAATATCATCCAGTTAATGTTACTTAAACGGAGACTCTGATGTTATTCGGGCCTATGGCTCTAGGCTCTGACCACCCCAACAATGCTCTTTAATGGCAATGACATCTAATGGCTGCTTACAACATGCAATTACAATCTACAGCAACATAAAATAGACAAAGCAATGTTCTTGCTTCAAAAATGTTTACTTTTTTGAGTCTTCATAGTTTCATATGAGGACTAGCCTAAGCATTAGTCTGTTGTGCCGTTGTGCAGCCCCCGAAGCCTTCACAATTTCATAATGAGATCGGCAAGTGGATTTGCCAAAGCCAGTTTCAGTGTTCTCCTTCCCAAGAGGCTTAGTGGCTTAACTGACATAGAGCTGAGGTCTCTTGTGATCTATTTCTTTTATGTTAAGTGGTAATAATGGAACTCTTCCCCCAGCTGTAGGCAACTGCCTAGGTTACATTGTACCTAGGCAAGTGTTACATGGTTGGAACAAAAGCAGCTTATAGCTGGTGGGCATCCTGGGTCTGGTTAGGGCCAAATTTGTGTTAACTATATCAACATAGTTGTGTGCCAGCATAATTGCCTATTCTATTTTTTTTTTTTTTTGAGATATACATGGGACCCGGCATGGTGGCTTACTAGCTAAAGTCCTTTCCTTGCACCCACCAGGATCCCATATAGGTGCCGGTTCAAATCCCGGCAGACCCGCTTCCCATCCAGCTCTCTGCTTGTGGCTTGGGAAATCAGTCAAGGATGCCTCAAAGCCTTGGGACCCTGCAGCCACATGGGAGACCTGGAAGAAGCTCATGGCTTTGAATTGGCTCAGCTCCAGTCACTGCGCTCACTTGGGGAGTGAACCATCAGACAGAAGATCTTCCTCTCTGTCTATCCTCCTCTCTGTATATATCTGACTTTGCAATAAAAAAAAGTCTTAAAAAAAAAAGATATGTGGGGGGCAGACACTAGCATGCCAGCAGACAGGGTCTGGTGACCTGTGTTCAAATATGAGCAGGGCACCAGCCTGGCACAGCACAATGCTAGAGAACCAGGCTTGGAAATCTGCACTCTAGAAGGCATGGGAGGGGGGCTGTGGATTTCTCAGGGGAGGGAGTCTGAGGATATGTGGGAGGGAGGTCTGCTAAGGGAGAATATGACAGGTGAGGAGCAACTTCTAGGGGACATCCTTCAAGGTGGCCACAGCACTTGCAGGTACATGAGGGGACTGAAATCTGCTGGTTTAGAGGAGGAAGATGGGGGATCTTTTGGGACAAAGCAATGTACCCACCCACGAGGGAGACCTGAGCTGAGCTTGCCAGTATCAACCACTACCTACACACAAGAGCCATGATTTGGGGGCTTGCCTAGCAGAGCTTGGGCACAGTACCTACCAGCGAGCATTGAAGCAGGGTGTGGACAATGTTAGGCTGGGCCATGACACTAACTAGCTCACAAAAGAACTGGGTCTAGGAGCAGATTCTGTAGCAGATTGTGGGCTCACCCCTGTGGGACTGCTATAACAGCTGGTTTGCTTGAAGGATGGGGCTGGTGACAGCTAGGCATGACCATGGAACTCACCAACACTCTTGGGTAATAGGGTTGGGAACAAGCCTGGATGGTCCAGGCTTGCAGCATCCACAGGCACACCCATGAATTGGGTGTGGGGCAGGTCAGGCTGCATATACTAGCACACACACAAAAGCTAACACTGGGGTAGGAGTGGGTGCAGAAATTGTGCTGGGTAAGGGCCTAACACTTGCTAACACACATGAGTTCTGGGTTTAGGTATGGGCCTGGTCAGAGAACTTGAGGAACTCCCCTGATAGGGGCTGTTACTTCTGCTGGTGAGCACGTGAGTCAGGGATGGGGACTGGTCAGGCTGGGCAGGGCTACTCCATTTGTTGACAGGTGTGTGAGTTGGCTCGGGGGTGGGGGTGGGCAGACCAGGTAGGGCCAGACTAAACCATAGTGCACTGGCATGTGTGGGAACCAGGATAGGGAGCAGGCAATGCGGGGCTTGGCTAAACTATCACACCTACTGGTTTGCATGAAAGCCAGGGGTAGGTGCAGGCTGGGCAGGGCTAGGCTGCAGAATCTACCAGTGAGAGTTGGCATTGGGGGCAGGCTGAGTCATGTCAGGCTGCAGCATCTGATGCCAAAGTCCAGGTTAGGTGATGGGTTGTGCCAAGCTGGGTTGGAGCAACCACTGGCATGTGCAAGATCTATTGCTGGGAGCAAGCCTGGTCAGGAAGTTAAGGAGACACCCCTCAGAGGCTACAGTTCCCACTGGTGACCATGGAGGTGGCACACCTGCCTGGACATGGCTGCAATACCCCTTTACATAGGTGTGGACTGGATCTGTGGTGTGCCACACTGGACTAGGCTCCAATACCCGCTGATGCTCATAAGAGCCAAAGTGGGTGTAGAATGGGCTAGGCTAGGTCTTGACACCCACTGAATTATGTGAGAGCTGAGTCTGGGGTTGGACCAGGCAGGGCTGGGTTGTAGCACCCAACAATAAGAACCAGAATAGGTGTGGGTTAGTTGGGCAAGGCCACTGTACCTGGCAGGACAGGAAGTGGGCCAGTTCAGGCTGAGCCAATAACCCACTAGTGTATGTGAGGTCTGCCACTGGGAGGTGGCCTGATAGAGGAGCTTGGGGGAATTTCTCTGACAGGACACAGTCCCTGTAAGTGAGCACAAGAACCAAAGCTAGGAGCTGCCCAGACCAGGCCAGGTTATAGTACCCACTGGCGTATATGTGGGTCAGGTCTGGGGGCAGGCCAGGCTGGACCAATTCATAGCACCAATGGCAGATGTGATATCCAGGAAGGGGTATGGGATGGGTCTGGATGGTCAGAACACCAGACCGTTCACATTAGGGCCAGGACTGCAGATTGTTCAGGCTGGGCTAGGCTGCAACATCCATCAGCATGAGCTGGAACTGGAGGCAGACCGGGCCAAGCCAGGTTATAGCACCCGCTGGTGAATCCAAGTGAGGAGAACCATGCCACTTTGGGCTGGAGTACCCACCAGCATATGTGAGACCCAGAATAGGGAGGAGGTGAACCTAGTAAGGGAGCCTCAGGGGCTCCCTTGCTGGGCTACTCTTCCCACTGGTGAGCATGAGTGCTGAGACCACGGGATGACCAGGATGGGCAGGGTTACAACACACATTGGCCTGCATGTAAATAGGTTAATGGGAGAACCAGGCTGGGCTAAGTGACCATATCCACTGGTATATGCATGAGCTAGAGTAAGTGCAAGCTGGTTGGACTTTGCTGTAGTACTGGCTAGCAGGTGCTGGGACTGGGGACAAATCCTGTCAAGCTAGAGCATAGAACCACCTGGAAAGTGCAAAATACAGGGCTGGGAGGGAGCCTAGTAGTGAAATTCTGAGCACCGCTCTACTGGGCTGCAGCTCCCACTGGTGAGCATTTGAACCAGGGCTTAGGGGAAGGCTGTCTAGACAGGCAGTGGCACCTTGCTGGCGTGAGAATGGGCTGGATAGTGGGGCTGGTTGGGCTGAGGTGGGCTTCAGTACTCACTTCTTTGTATGACAGCTGAATAGGATGTGGGACAGACTGAACCAGTTTTTTGCATATGTTGGCATGTGCAAAAACCAGGGCTGGGGGCCAGCCTGGTGAGGGTTATTAGCGGTTGCTCCAACTAGGCTGCAGGTCCCACTGGTGTGAGTGGGGGCCGAGTGTGTGATGGGAAGGGTTAGTCTGGGCTGTAGCATCCATTGGTTTGCATATGAGATGGGGCTGGGGAGAGAACTGAGCAGGTGACTAGAACTGCTGATCTGTATGTAGGCTGATGTGGGTGATGGACTGAACTGGACCCTGTTAGATTCGCCGACCACCAGGGAAAGAATAACTCGGCCGAATATATAAACAGAATTTAGATGGCCTTTATTTCAGGGAACCACGGTCACGGGCTTCCCTTCCCTGTGCAGCAGACAGATGGATGTGAAGGAGTGAGCTGCAGAGGGAGAGTGCGGAAGAGACAGGGAAGAGGCTTTTTAAACTCTCCTTGACACAGAAGCCGAAATGGTGCTTGCCTCGGCCCTTATTGGTGGGGGGATATGGGTTTGCGCCCCTCATTGGTGCAACGGTGATCTCACCGCCTGAGGGGCCTGCCAGAATTCTGCCATCTGTTCCTGGTTTGGTTGGTTGGAGGCAAATTCTGCCCTTCTCTGGTTACCGTGGTAGACATCAGACCCATTCCTGAATGGCACAAAGAGGAGTCAGATTAGGGTCCCCTCTGGCAAGGCTTCTTTGGGGACCCACCTCAACTAAGTCACTGGACTCAGAACTCCAACTACGCTGAAAATCAGAGGATCCGCCGTCTGACTGTGGAGTACATGTGTCAAAATGGAGCTCCTCAGGCCCACTGTGATGGCTCAGTGGCTAGATCTTTGCCTTGCATGAAACACGATCCCCTATGAACACCAGTTCATTTCCCAGCTGCTCCACTTCCCTTCTAGCTCCCTGCTTGTGGCAGGAGAGGGTGGCCCAAAGCCTTGGACCCTGCACTTGTGTGGGAGACCTGGAGGAAGCTCCTGGCTTTGGATTGGCTTGTCTCTAGCCGTTACAGCCACTTAAGGAGTGAGCCAGCAGCTGGTAGATCTTCCTCTCTTTTTCCTTTTCTCTGTAAATGTTTCCAATGGAAAAAAACCAAAAAAAACAAAAAAAACCCCAAAACCTTAACAACAACAACAAAACGAATGGATCTCATCAGTTGTTGAGACCTGTGCAGCTGATGGCATGCCCAGAAGCTCATGGAGAACATGACAACTACTTCATTGAAGCTTGCCGAGGATGTCTAGTACCATGGAGGGCAGGACAAACTGGACAGCTCCCCTAGCTCTGATAGCGAGTACCTGGGCGAACAGAGACTCTAAGGTGGGCTGTGTCAGCCAATGGACCTTGGAAGGATTTCCTCAACTTTGGAGACAAGAAAATCAACAGCATATCAGTACTATCAAAACATGCTCCACATCAGGGACCCTGAAATGACATCAGGTGGCTTTCCCCTACCTCTGGACACTGAGGCAGGTGGGTTGCTGCAATTGGCCTCTCCCCTCTCTCTCCACTTTCCCCAGATACCGGAAGAACAAAGGAGTTTGGAGGCAATTGTCACACCCATTTTCTCTCATCTCTTGACCCTCCCCATCCTAATCGATGGTTCATATGGGCTAGTATGACTTTCAACTATGTAAACATCACCAAAAAGAAAATAAATTTATTACTGAAAAAATAATGAAACTCTCTTAGGCTGAATTCTAGACGTGATGCAAACTTAATTTAAGATTCTATTACCAGGGCTGGCATTGTGGTGAGGCAGGTTAAGTCACAGTTTGTGATTCCAGCATCCAAGTGCCTGTTTGTGTCCTGGCTGCTCCACTATCAATCTATCTCCTAACTAATGTGCCTGGGAAAGTGGCAAAAGTTGATCAAGGTGCTTGGCCCCCTGCTACCCTATAGTAGACCTAGAATAGAGTTCCAGGATCCTGGCTTTATTTAGCCTGGCAGTTTTGGAAGTGAATCAGTGCACAGAAAAAATCTTCTCTCTTCTCCTTTACTATGCCTAAAGGCAGGGATTTGCGCTTCCCTTGCAAGAGCTTCTTTGGAACCAAACAGTCCTTAACACATGTTACTCTGATTTCACAACAGGAGACATTCAGTACTAACAGCAACATTCAACTAATAACACTACTATTTAATTTCTCCCAATAGTGTGACAATGGTTCTGCTTGCAGGTGTTCTTCCCCAGTTTCAAATGTGAGGAAACTGCAGAAGGAAGCAGCAGGTGACAGCTCTGGTCCAGGTCAAGAGGCTGAAATGAGTGACAGCCTTCCTGCTGGGCAGAGTCTGGAGTCAGTAGGACCTGGCATGTTTGGAAGTCATGAACTTAACATTCTGTAGGTTAGTCTCAAAGCAACCTAAGTTGGAGAACATCTCTGAAGCTCAAGGAACAGCAGGGGATTTCCTTCGCTTTCCTGAAGAAGCTGGACACACAGACAAGATGCCAACTTAGAGGTCTGCCAGGAGTGGGACAGACTGGCCCTGAGAAGGAAGTGGGAGCGAATGGACTTCCAGGGGCAACTGCTTTCTGTTGGAAAGAAAGATAATACTTATTTCACTTTCTATACTGTTTCCCTGTTGACTCTGGCCCAGATGCTATGACACTGCAAAACTGACAGCGCATAAACTTTTTGTTTTGGTTGACACACATGACTTTGCCCACTGTTTCCAGGCAAGTGAACGCTCCCTGTGGATTTGCATAAAGAACTCACTTTAAAATTGGATCACAAATAAGCATACTGTGCGTTTGCTGTGATCAGAGTACGGTTCCATTTGCCCAGACAACAGACTGCAGTTTTACTTCTCGCTAGCACCACAAACATCAGTTACTCTGTTGTAGCTGCTGTCTCCTGATAGTGTGCGATTTACTGATCATCTAAACACAAAGGGCTGGCTAACATCACCTTCCACCAAATCATCCCACATCCCTACACACACACCCGTCTCTCTCTGCCTTCCTCCTCCAAGAAAGGACCAACAAGGCCACTTGAACCGTCCCGGTGCACAAGCATAACTTACTGGCTCACAGCCAAGGGCGAGAGGTGCGCCCGGGGAAAAGTCCAGCCAGGAGACAAGCGAACACTCCCCGTGGCATCGAGTTCACGCCCGGGAAGAGAAAGAGGGAAGTGATGGCTAAAAAACAGGGGCAGGGCGGTGTCCCCTGACACGTTCCAATTCACACGGCTCCCATCCCCACCGGGAGAGGCCCTCACCCGGGCGCACAGCACACGAGGGGTCACTAGAGGAGACCCCGGAGGATGCAGGGCCCCGCCAGGGGGAGCGGCTGCGCTGGGCGGCCGGAGTGGACTGCGCGCGGGGCGCACGGGGCGCACGGGGCGCGCAGGGCAGCGGCCCAGCCCGGCCCAGCCCGGCGGCCTCCCGCGTCCCCACCCCCTACCCGCCCCCGGCGCGGCCCTACCCGCCCCCTCCGCCCCCTCCCGCGGCGCCTCTGCGCAGACTCAGTTCCCGGAGGAAGATGGCGACCGCCGAGAAGCAGAAACACGACGGGCGGGTGAAGATCGGACACTATATCTTGGGGGACACCTTGGGGGTCGGCACCTTCGGCAAAGTGAAGGGTGAGGACCCCCTGGGGGCAAGCTTTGGTCGCTGTCCTGGAGCCGGCTGATTTCCGCTTCTCGCACCTCTTCCCTCTCCCGGTCGCCCAGGTCCCTCTCGGCAGCCCCTGTGCGGGCTCTGCGGGGAACCGAACCCGAAGCTGCGGCGGGAACTGAGGACGGCTTCTCCGCTTTGCTGGAGAGGGTGTGAAGGGGGTGGGGCTGGGGGCTGGTTCCCATGGCGACGGCGCCGCGGCAGGAGGGGTGGGTCGGTGCGAAGGCGTGGATGCAGAGATGCGAACTTTCCCCGGTGGTGAAGTTGGGAGCTGCCCCCTCGCGCTCAGGCTGCAGAGAAGGGCCCTGGGGGTCTCGGCAGAGAGCCGGGGGGCGCGGAACGCGGCCTCCTGGTCCCCCGGCGTGTGGTCTTGGCTCCAGGCCAGTCCATCGCTGCCCTGATGGTCCTACGTGTTGTCCGTATTTCCGTCCTTTTCAGGCTAGGGAAAATATTTAACGGCCCCTGCTATTTCCTGAGCACCGGAGATGTTTTCCCAAGTTACGTTGCTTTGTGAAAAACCTACAGAATTTTTTTTAAAGTCCATTTTTGTCGGAAAGGATTACTGACTTCATTCTGGTGCGATGCAGGGTTTACCTACCTTGTAGCCTTCCTGTCTTCAGTGTTTCTGAATTAACCAGTTTTGCACAGAGTGCTTGCTAAGCCTGGTAATTAGTATAGATGTTGCCTCCAGAATTTATTAATTAGTAGTCTTCATTTCCTTTCAAAAGATACTCAGTTTTACTTTTAAAATATTTAGTTTTTTAATTTACTTGGAAGGTAGGGATAGAAAGTCACAGTGTGCTTCCATCTGCTGATTCACCCCCTAAATGCCCACAACAGCTGGGGTTGGGCCGGGCAGAAGACAGGAACCTGGAACTGAGTCTGGCTGAGAGGCAAGGACCGAAGTACCTGGGCTGTCCTGCTGCCTGCTGGACTGCCCATTCACAGGCAGCTGGGGTGCCCAGGGAGTAATGCCTGGAACCCCAGGCTGTCCTGCTGCCTACTGGACTGCCATTCACAGGCAGCTGGGGTGCCCAGGGAGTAACGCCTGGAACCCCAGGCTGTCCTGGGGGGTGCAGGTGCCCTAAGTGGTTCCCAAGAAAAACGCTGTCCACAGGGTGTTTATATTTAATAAGCGAACTAGTGCACATCACTTGATCTACTTTTTTAAATATAAATTTATCCTTGATGGTGTTTACATAGTTGGGAAGAATGTGTGCCCGTGTGAACCACCGATTAGGGTGGGAAGGGTCGATGTATGGGGGAAAGTGAGTGAGACAATTGCTTCCATTTTTTTTTTTTTCCTTCTTGTATCTGGGGATAGAGGGAGAAGAAAGGAAGAGGGCCGCCTCCAGACCGCGTGGGCATTCAGGGGTGCGGGGAGGGGGACAGCCACTTGATGTCTTCCTAGGACCCCCAATGTGGATGTTCTGAGGATATTTCTTAAGTGATTCGATGGTTTTGAGATGCTGTTGATTTTGTTGCTGCAAGGTTGAGGAATTTCTTCCAAGGTCCCTTGGCTGACATAGCCCAGCTTAGAGTCTCCACTCACCCAGATACTTGCTGGCAAGGCTTGGCCAAGAGAGTGATCGAAGTTGTTCTGTCCTCATCCTCTGCACGGGATTAGACATCTTCTACAGGCCTCAATGAGCTGTCGTGTCCCCCAGGGGCATCTGGGCAGCGTCAGACTACAGTTCATCTTTTTTGTTGTTGTTGTTAGGTGTGGAGCTTCTTTAACAACTTGAGGATTTTGGAATAGCTTCGTCTCATGTCCAATCCTGGGATAAAAAGTTTAAATTATAACTTTGTGATGCTCAGGACTTTGTTTTTTTCCTTTTAAAAAATGATTTTTTAAATTAGGAATGTGGCAAAAAGATGCTTGAAACTGATAAGATATTTCATTGGCTCTGGATAAATAAGACTATGGCTGGTATATACTAAGGTTTTGGTAAATATTTGACCTGGAAGAAAAGGTTTATCAAAGTCTCCAGAACCAAACAAACATCTTCCTCTTCTATTTTATTACAGAGATCTTCCAACCACTGACTGGGTCACTGCCCAAATATCTCACAACTGAGCCACAGCGAAATGATGAGTCATAACTCAATCTGGATTGGTGCATGAGTGGCAGAGACTCCATTGATCTATTGCCTGCTGTTTTCCAGGGTGTGCCTTAGCAGGAGCTGGGACTGGAAGGGGAACTGGGACTCAAAGCCAGGCACTTGGTGTGGATGGGGGCATCCCAAGGACACGTTCACTGGTTGGCCAAGCACCGTGCTGTCTTGTGTTTTTTGAGTCCTGCATGTACAGTATCGCTATATAACAGTGATGTGCTTTAACTCCTTATGAAAAAGACAGGGTCAACAATGTAAGGAAGTTAGGATCAAATTCCTTATTTGTAATGACAGCCGCTAGGGTGGGGGGGGTCTGTGCTGCGTGACTTTTTATTTTTGGCTCTGCTGTTTCTTGCTAGTGATTATAAACAGCCTTTTAGTTTCCCAGCAGTTGAAGAAATGCTCATTAATGGCTCTGATATAGTGAGAAAGACCACACTGATGCCCTCAACTCCTTCTCAGAATTCTGCTTAGATGGGGGTGTTCATCATTCCCTTAAAATAGATCGGAGCAGAGTCTATTTCCTTACTTGCTAATCGGCTTTTGGCATAGTAGCTGGGAAGGAAGAAGACATTTTCTGGATTGGAGCTTTGTGATGTGACTGTGCTGTGAATCTCTTCACTGACTTCTGTTCTTTAAACTTCACTTTCCCCTCACATGTACCCCTCATGAAGGGCACGAAGACTGTCGGAGTCAACAACTTTCCCAGATGCAGGAGGGCTGAAATTATGTGAGCTATCACTGCTGCATCCCAGCAACTGCAGTGCTAGGAAGCTAGACCCAGAAACTAGCTGGAAATGCATTTATGTGCAGTCCCATGTGGAATGGAGGCACCTTACCCACTGGTTAAACACCCACTCTGTATATTTTCTTTTGTACTTTTGAATTGTTTATGTACTGCATGTGTTATGTATAAAAATACATAAAATTAAGTTTGCAAAGAAAACACATGAAAAACAACATTACTGTATTTCTAAAAATTCTTATTTGTGTAGTAACATCTTTAGAGTGGAAAGCAAATACCAAATTCAGGATCTTGGTTACCTCTGGGGAGCAAGGAAGAAGGAAAAAGGCTTCACGGGTATCTATTTCATTTTTTAAGCCTGTGGAAGTAATTATTTGGTGAATGTCTTGGTATGCTTGACATGTTAGAAAGTTAGTTTAAATGTCCATCAATAGCTTACAAAGTTTACTGTTCCCCAGGATTAAGCTATTTCCCTGATATTTTTAGCAGTGAAGTTTTTATTCTTTTAATTTGCTAGGTAGTTGGAACATTGTCAGTGGATATTTCTGTCTTTGCAGTATCCCTATCCTACTAAAATCTTCTCTTTCAAAATATCATCTTGTTTCACTTCAGGATTATCCATGATTAGAAGAGCATTTGTTACACTATTACAGTTAGAAAAAGTTTCTTTTAGATTATAGTAACATTGTTATCAGCTAATACTTAGTTGACTAATCTGCTGTGCTTGTGGGGCAGACGGCCAGGGAATGCTGTGGATGACCTACAAGTCTTCCTTGGCCAAAATGTCTTTCTCAACCTTACTGAAAAGCAAAAACATTTCAACACTTTGGTAAAATAGTAACAGTGTGTCAAAGTTTCAAGTTTTAAAAAAGGGATGAGGGCCCAGTGCCAGATGGGATCCTAGTGGCTAAATCCTTGCCTTGCATCCACTAGAATCCCATGTAATTCATGTCCCAGCTGCTTTACTTGCCATCCAGCTCCCTACTTTATGGCCTGGGAAAGCAGTAGAGCTTGGCCCAAAGCATTGGGACCCTGCACCTGCATGGGAGACAGAAGAAGGTTCTGGCTTTGGATTGGCGCAGCTCTGACTGTTGTGGTCACTTGGGGAATAAATCAGTGGGTGGAAGATCTTTCTCTCTGTCTCTCCTCCTCTCTGTATATCTGACTTTGCAATAAAAATAACTACATCTTTAAAAAAATAAGAGTATTAAAAATGTATACAGCAAAAAGGAATCTCTTTTCTTTCTCATCTAAGCCTTCCAGCTTTCCTAGCTGAAAGAACTCCCTTTTACCATTTTCTTAATGTTTTTTCCTGAATCATTCTAAACCATCCCATGTTCACAACAAATAATGGGCAGAAAGGAACATAAATCTGTTTATTTCCTGAGATTGCTAAGGTTACTATTCTTAGAATATATCTAAGGGGCCCTGTGCTGTAGCCTAGTGGCTAAGTTCTCGTCTTGAACACACCGGGATTGCATATGGGTGACGGTTCTAACCCTGGTAATCCTGCTTCCCATCTAGCTCCCTGCCTGTGGCCTGGGAAAGCACTGGAGAACAGCCCAAAGCCTTGGGACCCTGTACCCATGTGGGAGACTCAGAAGAAGCTCCTGGCTTCGGATCGGCTCAGCTCTGGCCGTTGTGGTCACTTGGGGAGTGAATCATTGGGTGGAAGATCTTCTTCTCTGTATATCTGACTTTGCAATAAAAATAAATGAACCTTAAAAAAATATACATATCTAGGGCTTGGCACAGTGGCCTAGTGGCTAAAGTCTTCGCCTTGAATGGGCCAGGATCCCATATGGGTGCTGGTTCTAGTCCCCGCAGCTCCGCTTCCCATCCAGCTTGTGACCTGGGAAAGCAATGGAGGACAGCGCAAAGCCTTGGAACCCTGCACCCGCGTGGGAGACCCGGAAGAAGCTCCTGGCTCCTGGCTTCGGATTGGCTCAGCTCTGGCTGTTGCAGTCACTTGGGGAGTGAATCATTGGACGGAAGATCTTCTCTGTCTTTCCTCCTCTCTGTATATCTGACTTTTCAATAAAAATAAATAAATCTTAAATACATACATATATATCTAAATATATTATTAGTCAAGCCAGCTTCTAATTGATTATTATTATTATTATTTTTGACAGTTGGCAAACATGAATTGACTGGGCATAAAGTTGCCGTGAAGATACTGAATCGACAGAAGATTCGCAGTCTGGATGTGGTAGGAAAAATCCGCAGAGAAATTCAGAACCTCAAGCTTTTCCGGCATCCTCATATAATTAAATTGTAAGCTGTTTACATTAAATATGCTTAACTCTTTGTTTTGCCACTTTTATTAACCTTTCTCTTGAGAAACATTATTAATATTTCTATTTCCTGAAGGTTTGGAAAGAATCTTCCTGTTCACATGTTTTCTCACCCTGTTTAGTCAGGTTAGCCTGTCTGTATTTTGACCTTGTGTTTGTTAGTTATTATCCCTATTCTTTCCTTTTCTGGACAGGTGTCCTTCTGAAAAATAATGTCCCACACGCCTACTGTTATTGAACCAACAATGACTTGCTAGGAAAAATGATCTGCAGGGGCTTTTGCAATGGTGTAGTGTGCTAAGCCTTCACCTGTAGCACTTGCATCCCCATATGGGCGCCGGTTTTAGTCCTGGCTGGTCCATTTCCCATCCAGCTTCTGCTGATGGACTGGAAAAGCAGCAAAAGACAGCCCCAGTGCTTGAGCCCCTGTGTCCACACAGGACATTTGGAAGAAGTTCCTGACTCCTGGCTTCAGATTCGCCCAGCTCTAGTCATTGTAGCCTTTTGGGGAATGAACCAGCAGATGGAAGATCTTTCTTTTTCTCTTTCTCCTCTCTGTAAAAATCTGCCTTTCCAGGCTCAGCACAATGGCTTGATGGCTAACTGCTTACGTTTAAGCATTGGGAGGCCATATGGGTGCCAGTTCATGACCTTGTTCCTCCACTTACCATTCAGCTCCCTGCTTGAGGCCTGGGAAAGCAGTGGAGGACAGGCCAAAGCCTTGGGATTCTTCATTCACATGCGAGACCCAGAGGAAACTCCTGGCTCCTGACTTCAGATTGGCTCAGCTCTGGCCTTTGTGGCCATTTGGGGAGTGAACCAGCAGATGGAAGATCATTCTCTCTGTCTCTTTCTGACCTGCCTTTCCATTAAAAATGAAATAAAGTCTTAGAAAAAAAATCTGCTCTTCCAATAAAAAGAAATAAATCCTTAAGACAAACCCCAAATTTTCATGTCATTCAGCCTCATTAATGACAATGCGGTGAAAAGCATTTTCTCTCTTTTTATTTATATCTGCTATATATGTATGCATAACAAAACTATAGGAATTTATTATTTGAAAAGAATAGTAATCCAGTAATCCTATTTTTTTAAGGTTTATTTGTTTTTATTGGAAAGTCAGATGTACAGAGAGGAGGAGAGACAGAGAGGAAGATCGTCCACCTGATGATTCACTCCCCAAGTGACCACAACAGCCAGAGCTGAGCCAATCTGAAGCTAGGAGCCAGGAGCCTCCTCTGGGTCACCCACGTGGGTACAGGGTCCCGAGGCTTTGGGTCGTCCTCTAGTGCTTTCCTAGGCCACAAGCAGGGAGCTGGATGGGAAGTGGGGCCGCTAGGATTAGAACCGTCACCCATATGGGATCCTGGTGTGTGCAAGGTTAGGACTTTAGTTGATAGGCTACTAAGCTTGCTCCCCAGTAATCCTATTTTATGATTGCTAGTGGTCGGATCCACAGATAAACTGTTTACTGCCTACTCTGTGCTTCAGAATGCAGGTTATCATTTCAAACTGTATACACTTTTTCTACTGAACTGCATGATTCAAAATTTGTTTCACTCTTATCGCTTCTGATTGTGGATGTGTGTGTTGTTTTCAGATTTACTTATTTGAGATGCAGAGCAATAGAAACAGGGAGAAACAGAAAAAGAGGGGAAAGAAAGAGAATCTGCTGGCTTGCTGCTGAAATGCCTACAATTGCCACTGTTGCTTCAGGCTTAAGCCACGAGCCTGGAACTTCTTCCAGGTTTTCTACATAGGTGCAGGAGGTACTTGGGTCATCTGCTTTCTCGTATGTATTAGCAGGGCGCTGGATGGGAAGTGGTGCAGCTAGAACTTGAACTAGCTCCCATATGTAATGTAGGTGTTGCAGGTGGAGTCTTAACTTGTTATACCATAACGCGAGCCCCAGATGGGCTCAAGAAACATCCATATGCTATTGTTCCTTAAATGTACAGCTCCTGTTTTGAAACCTCTTGTGTGAACTCCAGACTGCTGCACTCACTGCTGCTTTTACAGCTCCATGTGGTATCCATAAGGCAAGCCCTGTGTGGCCGAACCCGAGCTCTGTTACCCTCTCAAATGTGCTCATCCTGCGGTTGCCCCCATCTCAGTTAACAGCCAGTCACCAAGAGGAAAAACTTAAGAACCATCTTTTACTTCCCTATTGTCTCCTACTTCTACTATCCCATTTTTTTCTTTAAAAATATATCTAGGGTTTGCTTTTTTCTCAGTTTCTTTATTGTTATCAGACTGGTCTGAGTCCCCTTCACCTCTTTCATGAGCACAGCAGTAGCTTTCTGCTTCTACTTTTGTCATTTACTCATTCTTTACACTGCTGACACATTTTTCTTGTAACATGCCAGGCCACATGACTATTAAAAACCTTCAAGAGCTTTTCATCATGGTCGTACAGCTCTGCGGCCTCTGGCCTCCAGTTACACTTCTCACTCCACATTGCGTTTCTGCTACCCAGCCTGCTCTGTCCTAGCCTGCTTCCCTTTCCTCAAGCATGCCAGGCATTCTGCACCGGCGCTGCTGTCCCCTCTGCCAGGTCACTTTCCTAGATGTGAGAATGATTGGTTCCCTTACTTCCTGAGGCTCTGCCCAGAAGTTACAGTTTTGGAGATCTTCCTTGACTCCTACATATGAAAGAGTTTTATTTCTCTTACTAGCATGTTCCACTACCTGAGCTATTGCTTAGTTATTGTCTGTTTCCTGGCTCCTTGAGTATGAACTCCATGAGACAAGAGAATTTGTTCTGTTCTCTGCAGTTTTTCCAGCTTCTACTACAGAACCTGGTATATAGCAGGTGCTTAATAAATATTTATTGAATGGCTATACATGTCTTAATATTAGTAGATAATGTTTTCTCTCACCAGGTACCAGGTCATCAGTACACCATCTGATATTTTCATGGTGATGGAATATGTCTCAGGAGGAGAGCTATTTGATTATATCTGTAAAAATGGAAGGGTAAGCAGTTCTGATTTAATCTTGTATCTTGTAACTCCCTGTATTTTTTGCTAGCATCATGATGTCAGAAAGTAATTTTAATAGGTATATTTAATAACTTGTTCCTTTGGGCATGTCTTTATTTAGAATCACAGACTATTTAGACTTAGAAAGCACCTTGAAGATTACCTTCTTAGCATACTTATATAGATGTGGATATTGAGCCAGCCTCACAATTAAATATTTGGTCGAGCTTACCTTGTTTGTTAATGAAAGAGTTAGATTCAGACCCCAGAATTCATAATCCTTGTACTTAATGCTTTTGGGATATGCAAATTTTAAAAAATATCCATAGTAAAGTATATAATTTCTCTTTGGAGATGTTTTATTGAATACTTAAACATCTAAATGCTGCTAGTCAACCTTAGTTACATTTAAATTGCATTCATTTTTTGGTTTCAGAAATCTGATGTACCTGGAGTAGTAAGAACAGGCTTCATGAAGGAGGTAGGAACTAGAGTTTAAGAATTTAGAGGTGGAAGGAACCTCAGAAGACATTTTGAACAGTATCTTAAGTTGAGCAGATATTTGAAAAAACTGAGCTCCACCGCTGCCCATACTTTTTCTCATTCCTAGATACGTGGTTTGCATAACCCGCTTTCTGGAAATCCAGATCAGCTCCGAGAAGACAACTTGTTTTACTCTAAACTTATTGATATTATTCATTCATTCCACTTAGCATTTTAAAAAAAAAGTTTATCTATGTTTGAGAGTTAGAGAGAGAGAGAATATCTGCCATCTGCTCGTTTACTCCCCAGATGGCCACAGTAGATAGTGCTGGGCCAGGCTGAAGCCAGGAGCCAGAAGTTTCATCTGGGTTTCCCATGTGGGTGCAGGGGCCAATTACTTGGGCCATCCTTTTTTCTTTTTTTTTTTTTTTAGGATTCATTCATTTTTATTGGAAAGACAGATTTACAGAGAGAAGGAGAGGCAGAGAGTAAGGTTTTCTATCTGCTGTTCACTCCACTCCCCAAATGGCTATGACAGCCAAACAGTTGATCTGAAGCCTCCCACATGGGTGCAGGGTACAAGGCCTTGGGCCGTCCTCGACTGCTTTCCAGGGAGCTGGATGGCACGTGGAGCAGCTGGGACATGAACCGGTGAATGGGATCTTAGCACTTGGAATTGAACGATTAGCCAATCAAGACATTGCACTGGGCCTTTTCGTCCTCTTCTGCTATATAAAGAATACTTTTACTTTCACCAAAATCAAAGTCATTAACCAAGTCATCATTCATATTACCATTTCTTTTTCTTCAAGATTATTTGAAAGGTAGAGAGATAGATGGAGAGATCTTGTAACCGGTGGTTCATTTCACAATGTCTGTAACAACCAAGCTTGGGCCAGGTCAGTGTCAGGAGTTAGAACTGCATCCTCGTCTCCCATACGAGTGGCAGAACGAAGTCATTCTGATGTGGAATGTAGGCTGGCCAAGCAGTGAGTTAATGTGCTTAGCTTTCACAATACTGCCCCATGATTTTAGTATTTCTTAAAAAAAAAAAGATTGATATGTTAATTTATTAGAAAGGCAGAGTGACAGAAAGGCAGAGTGAGAGAGAGAGGAAGAGAGAGAGATCTTGACCATCTGCCAGCTCACTCCCCAGGTTCCTGTACACCAAGGCTGGTCCTGACTGAAGCCAGGAGCTTGGAATTCTGTCTGGGCCTCCCATAGGAACGAGAAGGGCCCAAGCACTTGAGCCATCCTCTGCTGCCTTCCTTGGTGCCTTAACAGGAAGGCGGGCCAGAGCTAGAACAGCTAGACTCATCAGCACTTTCATATGGCATGCAGGCATCCTATGTGCTAGTTCAACCCATAGTGCCACCTTGTTCTTGCCTTTTTTTTTTTTTTAGCACGGTTTGTTTTTCATTTATGTCCCCAACCCTCTCCTCCCTACAAAACAGCTCTACAAAAAACAAAGAAAACAAAACAAAAAATCCCAAGCAAATCAAGAAACCAGGCCCAAGTTACATTAGCATTTGTTTTGCATTTATGCTGTGTGTCATTTTGTTTGACATTATGAGATTTTCTTCAGTTTTACCTGTTGATTCATATTAAGATTTCTGCTGTCATATTTTCTATTTCAAACATGTTTCTTGTTTTCTGTGTGTCTCTTGTCTTCTGCACATGGCCCTTCTTCAGATATTTGGTGATTTTGGTTGTCTACTTATTTTTAAGAGTGATGTACTAAAGGCTGAGCTCCCATGGGTCGAGCTTACTGATTATGAGGCTTTTCCATAGGTTGAATTGGTAGGTAGTCTATCTTACATCTGATATTTGTTCCAGAAGAAACCTTTCGATCTTCTTGACACTATTATTTGCTTAGTGCTATTGTTCCAAGAGCTGAGTGAGCTCTTGGAGTGTACAAGTCTTGCTAATATGTTGACTTTGACTTAATCCCTGTGTTTTCCTCATGTTGATTCCTATTTGTCTTCTCTCTGAGAACAGAGCTCTCCAACCTTACTGGAATATACCATAATTCCTATCCTCCATTGGTGATGAATTAAGTTTCTTACTTCAATGAGTTGTCTTATTTTCAGCCAATTCTCCCTTCCACATTCAGAATGTCCTCATATTTCCAATGTCAAAGCCTTTCCAAGGTTGTTTGTACAAAAGAATTTATTTCTTACTTATTTATATCCCTGTGGACTTAGGTTTATGCTTTATGTTATTGGCTGTGTTTATCACTATTCATTTGGTGTCCAAGTTGGCCATTTTTCTGAATTAGTACTCTATCTTTTGTTTTTCTTTTTAAAATATTGTTTACATAGTTGGGAGGGATGCATACACATGTCGGTCTTTGGTTAGGGTGGGGATGGTTAAGATAGGAAGGAAGGTGTCTTGGACAAATGTTTCAATTCTTTTTATTCTCTTAGTCTGCTAAGGAGGAAGGAGGAGGGAACACTCCTTGATATCAAACTACAACATCATCTGGGGATGGAGGACAGTTCTTTGATGATGCCTTAGAGACTCCAGTGTGGGGAAGGATGTGCTAAGGGTTTTAACTTTTGGTTTTCATAGTTCTGAGATTTTGTGGGCTTTGTTGCACCAGGGTTGAGAAAAATCTTTCCGAGGTGTGTTGGCTGACCAGATCCACCTCAGTGTGCATCTATAGGCCCAGGAACATGTTGCAAAGGTTGGTCTGGAGAGTGCTCTAGCCTGTTCTGCTTGCTTTCTTCTGATGAGGTGCTCAACATCCTCTGCTGGCTCAGATGAACTGGCCGTCATGGATTCTGTGTGTATCTGGGCGTGCTGACCATTACACAGGCATCAGCAACTCAGGAGGCCCAGTTCTGCCCGATACATACACTCCATCGTAGGACCATACATGCTATGATTTTCCCTTGTGGCCAGGGTGAGAGTCCAGCCATCTAGTTGGGGAGTCTTCCAAAAAATTCACCTGTGGTGACCTTAGATGTGACTATTATATGTGCCAGACATTGTAGGGTCGGGTTTTGTCTGTCATCTGCACCAGGCAGTACACACACTGGTGGATGCAGCTGCCTAGTCAGTTCTTCCTCCAGTTCTCTGCCTAGTCAGTTCCTCCCACTTGCCAACGGGTGCTGTGGCCTAGTCCAGCTGGCCTACATCCATTCTGGCTCCCATGGCATCAGTGGGTGCAGCAGCCTAGCTTAGCTTGGCTCGTCCCAAGTCCCAGCTCTCATTTTAACCAGTAGAAGCACTGGCTCAGCAAGGGAATACCCACTGCCAGCCCTGCATGTGCTAGCAGGTGCTGTGGCTCAGCTGATATGGATGGCCCTTAGTTCTGTACTCATTGGTAGGTACTGCAGCATAGCCTGACTGGCCTGCACCCATTCCATTTCTCACCATTGGGTGCTACAGTCTAGCTCAATGTGGCCCACTCCCTTACTCAGTTCTCATGTGAACTGGCAGGTGCCAAGGCCTAGCCTGTCCTGTCCCACACCCAGTCAGGCTCTTATGAGTGCCAGCAGATACTGGAGCCTAGCCCCATCTGGCCCACCATGAAGCCAAGGCCACCTGCATGTTGACAGGTGCTGCAGCCTTATGCAGCCTGCTCAAACCCCAACTCTGGCTCTCACATTCCCCAGTGGGAATTGCAGGCAAACAGGGCAGTCCTCAAAATTCTACCAGACCAGTTCACAGCCTCAGATGATGTGCATGCTAGTGGGTATTTCAACCCAGCCTAGCATGACCCACCCATAGTCTCAGCTCTTGCTGGCAGATGTTGCAGCTTAACTCAATTGAGTGTGACCCACACTCTCTCCTGGCTGTTGTGCATGCCAGTGGGTACTGTGGCCTGGCCCTGCCTAGCTTGCCCCAGGCCCATCCAGCCCACGCAAATGGTGAGGAGCGCTGAAGCCTGCCTTCCCTGGCCCACCCCCAGCCCTGACTGTTGTGCTGCCCGCTGGGAGCTGCAGCCTAGCAGGGGAGTTATAGAGGCAAGCCCACAAGTACCCTACAGAATCTGTCTCCAGATCCAGTTCTGCTGCATTCTGGTGGGTGCTGTGGCCCAGCCTGATGTGGTTCAAGCCCAAGTGCTCCAACACTCCCAGGCGGGTCCTGTGGGCTAGCTCAGCCAGGCATGTTTCCTAGCCCCAACTTTTGGGTGCACCAGTGGTCTGCGGAATATGGTATTTAGCACAGCCTAGGTCTCCCACATGGGCGAGTGCATTGATCTGACCCAGATATGCCCTTTGATTTTCTCCCTAAAAACCACTCCATCTCAGTTCCCTCACCTACTTGCAAGTGCAGTGGCTGGGTCCCTGAAGCCCCCAGAAGTAATTCCTCCCTGTCAAACATGACTTCAGCCACTCCCATTCCAGAATATCCCCAGATATTCCTGGGCAGTCTGCAGCTCCTTGCCTGGGGGCCAGGGTGGTGTGTCCCTGCCCCGAGTTCCCCACCTTCTCCATATATCTTTAAAAAAAAAAAAAAAAAACCAGAATAGAATAGGCATCTGTGCTGGCACACAACTGTGTTGATATAGTTAATGCAAATTTGGCATTAACCAGGCCCAGGATGCCCACCATCCTTGGCTGCTTTTCTTCCAGCAGTGTAACACTTGCCTGGGTACAATGCAACCTAGGCAGTTACCTACAGTTAGGGTCTTTTTGTCTGTATGCTTTTTTATTGCTTATATCATTTTATTGATGTTTCAAAGAATGAAAATAATAGATTCATTTTGGCATGTTTACCTGGAAATATGTGTTGGTTTTTCTAATCTTTGTTTATAGGTATCTCATTTATCTGTTGTACTCCATTTGTAATGAATACAGAATTTTTCATTTTTTGTTGCCTACCTAGATATTCTACCTCTATTTTATTCAATTGATTATATTTTCTGCTCCTTCATATTTAAATAAATATTTTTTATTCATAAACCTACATTTCTGAGCCCAGTGCAGTGGCCTTGTGGTGAAAGTCCTTGTCTTGAACACACCGGAATCCCATATGGGTGCCGATTCTAATCCTGGCAGCTCTGCTTCCCATTCAGCTCCCTGCTTGTGGCCTGGGAAAGCAGTTGAGGATGGGCCAAAGCTTTGGGACCCTGCACCCACATGGGAGACCCGGAAGAGCTCCTGGCTCCTGGCTTCAGATTGGCGTAGTGCCAGCTGCTTGGGGTTACTTGGGGAGTGAATCATCAGACGGAAGATCTCTCCTCTCTCTATATATTTAACTTTGCAATAAGAATAAATGTATCTTTAACCTACATTTCTTCTAGCAGTAAAAAGTTGATTGCTAAAACATTAGTTTGTTTTTCCTAGAGGCAGTGTAAACCATAGTACTTCAATAATAGTTTTAGTTTTGTTTTCAAAGGAAGTTAGCAATGTGTTTTTTATCCTAGACCATCCATTCCCTTTAAGGTGTGGAATTCTGGCTTTAGAATGCTAATTTATGACTTGCACTATACGGTTGCATACTAGAATTCTTTGTCTAGAGAATTAAAAAAAATATATATGTATATATAAGTTCACTCTCCAGATGGCTGCAATGAAAAGTTTTCTTTCGTTAAAGTTTGAACGTCTTTCAGTTGGGGATAATTGCTGTCATTGCTTGCTAATGGGCTTACGGTACTTACGTGTTTCTCATAGTCTGAAATAGCATCTCACCTCAGTGTCATTCCCTATCCTTAGTTTGCTTTCTTTTTATTCAAAGCAATGTTACTCCTCGATGCTGTATTTATTCATTGTATATTTTTGTCAACTAGATAGTGCCTTTGGTTTTATTTATTGCTCTATCATAGTGTCTATAACAATGTGTAGCAAAATGAAAGTATACAAAAACAATTCGTATTTCTTAAAGGAATGAAGGGTTAAACATTGCTATCTAGGTAAAAACATGCCTAGTTTCAAACAAGAGTTAAAAGTTTGGAATTAGCGTTCCTGTGTGTCTCATGTTGCAGTGTAGTCGTGATGCCAATGGTATCAGGGCTGAGATGCTGATTTAGGTGCTGAGATCGTCTTGGTGTTTCGTGCTGCGTGTATCTACTTTGTAGTTCTATATGTCTCATGAGTGAAGTTCATTGGGGGAGATTTCAAGCATTCTAAACCCTTTTCTAGGTAGAAGAATTTATTTTGAAAACACATCTTTAAGATACCTCTCTGCCTTTCCTAGCTGGATGAAAAAGAAAGCCGACGTCTGTTCCAGCAGATTCTCTCTGGTGTGGATTATTGCCACAGGCATATGGTGGTGCACAGGGATTTGAAGCCTGAAAATGTTCTGCTTGATGCGCACATGAATGCAAAGATAGCTGATTTTGGTAAGGATATTTTTACAGCTTCATACATTCATCATACATAAGTAGCATCCTTCTAATAGCTTTGATGTTCTGTAATAGACTGATTATCTAGAAGCGTTCTATTTGGTTTATGAACGTACCAAAATGAGCATCCTCTCTTCTTAGCTTTAATACTGAATTTCAGGATAGCAGATAAACAGTCTAAGTTGGCAGCATTAGTGAACTCATTCAGTATTAAACCTGCCAGGAAAATGAACCTCTTGTGGAAAAGGAAACTCTTGTGAACATTCCCCCCTGTTTTCAGTACACTGATACATTTATTGATCTTTTACATTGTTTTCCCTAATTGCTGTATTAGTAAAACCTCAGTTACCAAGAACTTAATACTGATTAAACTTCAACAATGCACTAATGTTAATGTTGAACTATTTTATGCATCTTAGGGCATATAATATTCGAGAGTAGCAAAGTATTAGATTTTGTCGAAGCAGAGAACAAAATCACTTTAATGCAAATTCACTTTATTGTTTAATGGGGTTTTGTTTTTATTTTTGTCCTTGGAGATTCCTGAATAGCTAATTCTGTGCACTTTCAGGTCTTTCAAACATGATGTCAGATGGTGAATTTTTAAGAACAAGTTGTGGCTCCCCCAACTATGCGGCACCAGAAGTAATTTCAGGAAGGTAGTATCTGACCACCCTCCCACCCCCAGTGTGCTTATATTTACTCTTATTCTCCTAGATTTGGATAGTCTGTAGTGTCATACTTAATTCTAATGAAAGTAAGAAAATATAAACTTCATTATTATATGGGAATATTCTTTTAAAATTAGGACATTGTAAATGGATAAGAATTAATGACTCCATTTATAGGAGAAAATGTTGGTTTGTAGGTTAGCATTTTATTAAAGTAGGTAGACTGTGGGGCTGGTACCATGGTGTCGTGAGTAAAGCTGCCACCTGTGGTGCTGGCATCATATACGGGGTGCCTGTTCAAGTCGTGGCTTTTTACTTCCAATCCAGCTACCATCTAATGTTCCTACTGCACTTGGGAAGGCAGTATGAGATGGCTCAAGTGCTTGGGCACCTGCACCCCCGTGCAAGACCAGGAAAAAGCTTTGAGCTCCTGACTTGGCCTGGTTCTGACCATTGAGGCCATTTGGGTCTCTCTCTCTCTCTCTCAAATAAATAGATACTTTTTTTTAAAGTAAGTAGTCTACAGTATTTTAACTTTTTCCCTAGTGGAAGAAATTAAGAATTTAAAACTAGTGAGTTTTAGAGGTAGGTAAAACATTGGAAACTTACGTAATACTGAAATACCTAGTAGTTAGAAATGGTTATTTAGAGTGAAAGTAAAATATGTAGTTTTTGTTTTTTTACGAGTTGACATTCTGTAATAGCTTTAAGTTTTATGAGAAAATATCTTGGAGAATTAGACTGAAATATTTTTAAGATCCTCAAACTTCACTTATGTTTAATTTTCATTGTTTAAATCTTTCAAGAAACCAGTATTTTACGTTAGCAGTGTAGTAACTACTAACTTTGAGAACATGAGATTTGAACATGGCTTTTTGGTTTAGAAAAGAAGAGAATTTCATTTTTCAAGAGTAACCTTTATTCTTCAGTGGATCACTGAGATAGTTGTTTACTAGTTTTTGTAATTAAGTTTTAATAACTTTTCATCCAAATCATATTATGCTAAAATGTCTCAAATCTTGATTAATTCAGAATGTTGAAAAAAACATTAGTATTTCCTATTTTCATGAGCTTGTAGAAATGGAGTTCTCGGGCCCAGTGCGATAGCATAGTGGTGAAAGTCCTCACCTTGCACACGCCAGGATCCCATATGGGTGCTGGTTCTAATCTTGACAGCTCTGCTTCCCATCCAGCTCTCTGCTTGTGGCCTGGGAAAGCAATGGAGGATGGCCCAAAGCCTTGGGACCCTGCACCTGCATGGGAGACCTGGAAGAGGCTCCTGGCTTCGGATTGGCTCAGGTCCAGCCATTGAGGCTGCTTGGGGAGTGAATCGTCGGATGGAAGATCTTCCTCTCTGTCTCTCCTCCTTTCCAATAAAAATAAATAAATCTTTAAAAAAAAAGACAAGAAATGGGGTTCTCAAAAGAAATTGTATTTACATAAAGGCAAGAAGAATACTTAATTTTAGATTTATCAAGTTTCATAATATCTATTTGGTATCTAAAATTCTTTTTATATTATTTTGTCTGTTTTGTCCATCATAATTCTTTCAGAAAGAAAACATTTTAGGGCCTGGATAATGGAGACAATGCGATTAAATAAGAAGTGCATTATAATTGTGTGTACATGCAATGAAGTATAACTGATCTCATTTTCCCATTTTAGATAAGGTCTCTTTGAGGTTTGGGTAAATGGAAACTTGTACTTTCAAAAAACTATCTCTTGATCAATTCAACAATCTGTTTGGCTAATTCAAAGATATCCTTTCCTTGCAGCCTGACTTCTGATGGGTGATCTAACTAGTCTGCAGCTTAATGCAGTTGCCTGTGGAGCGTTGCAAATAGGAGATTAAAATCTGCCTTGAACCATTAGTGTGGCTTCCTCCCACAGCTTCAGGCTTCTTTGTTCCTCCTTAGGGTGTCTCAGTTAATGAGAGTGAATTCCTAAGTCTATCACTGAAGAATTTGATCTGTGATAAAAAACAATGGCTTTGAATTTGATAATGCTATTTTTCAGTGGTTGGCCCATTGGTAGTAGCTTTTAAGAGCCAAAGTAAGACAGCAAGAATAGAATATTAGTCATATCTATAATTTTAAAAAAAGATTTATTTATTTGGAAGACAGAGTGAAACAGCCAGGATAGGACCCCGCTGAAGGCAGGAGCCAGGAACTTCCTCTGGATCTTCCAGAAGGGTGGCAGGGGCCCAGGTGTTGGGGCCCCCCTGCGCTGCCCTCCTGGGCATGTCAGGGACAGGAGCAGCTGGGACTTGAACAGGCATTCAGATATGTGATGCCAGGAATGCAAGCAGCCCAAGCCATATTCTGCTGCTGACAACACTTGTTTTGGTTTTCAGAAGTAACACTGTTAGACTTAAGACCTGTTGGTGTAATATGAGGCAGTGGCAACAGACGCCATATTCTGACTGTTTTCTGCGAAATATCCATCTATGAGTTTTGATTATGCACTCGCTCTTGACTCTTTCATGGCCATTTAATTCAGCTGGTATTTCCTGTTTCAGGTTGTACGCAGGCCCAGAGGTAGATATATGGAGCAGTGGTGTTATTCTTTATGCTTTACTCTGTGGAACTCTCCCATTTGATGATGATCATGTGCCAACTCTGTTCAAGAAGATATGTGATGGGATATTTTATACCCCTCAGTACTTAAACACTTCGGTGATTAGCCTTCTGAAACATATGCTGCAGGTGGATCCCATGAAGAGAGCCACCATCAAAGACATCAGGTAATAAAGCAATATGGAAATGTTCAGATCTAATAGTATACATAATGTTACTTACATGAAGTGAAAAGTTGCACAACAGAATATATAGCGTAACCCTTTTTTACATGTTACTAATTTTTTTAAGTTATCATCACATCAAATGTGATAAATTATACAATGAGGCTGTATAGTATATAATCTGAGCTGGAAATAGGCTGTTCTTTGTCATTGTCATTTGTTCCAAAATTAAACATAAGTGTTGACATTTGTTTTCTCATTGCTACTTTTTTCCTCCTAAAAGCACAGGCAGCCTTCAGCACTTTCCTCAACAGATACCAAGAGCAAGCTCTTGGGAAACTCTTAGTTAAAACAAAGTGCTAATACAATATGGCTATAAATATAAGTCATGCCTCAAATTCCTCAAACTACTACTTTCAGTCTCAGCTCTACTCAAACTTATTTTCCTCAATCCTGCCATTTTGCCTCAGGGAACATGAATGGTTTAAACAAGACCTTCCAAAATATCTCTTTCCTGAGGATCCGTCATACAGTTCAACCATGATTGATGATGAAGCGTTAAAAGAAGTGTGTGAGAAGTTTGAGTGCTCCGAAGAAGAGGTGCTCAGCTGCCTTTACAACAGGAATCACCAGGACCCACTGGCAGTGGCATACCACCTTATCATAGATAACAGGAGGATCATGAACGAAGCCAAAGATTTCTACCTGGCAACCAGCCCACCTGATTCTTTTCTTGACGATCACCACTTAACTCGGCCCCATCCTGAAAGAGTACCATTTTTAGTTGCTGAGGCACCAAGGACACGCCACACCCTTGATGAATTAAATCCACAGAAATCCAAACACCAGGGTGTAAGGAAAGCAAAATGGCATCTGGGAATTAGAAGTCAAAGTCGACCAAACGATATCATGGCAGAAGTATGTAGAGCAATTAAGCAGTTGGATTATGAGTGGAAGGTAAGAAAGCATCCTGATGATTAACACGTGTGGCAAACCTGTAGTCTGTAGAAGAATTTGTAGTACTGATTTGACTTTGTGTTTATCCATACTGTATGCTAGGTTGTAAATCCCTATTATTTGCGGGTACGAAGAAAGAATCCTGTGACAAGCACGTATTCCAAAATGAGTCTACAGCTGTACCAAGTGGACAGTAGAACTTACTTACTGGATTTCCGGAGTATTGATGGTACGTACAGCTGCCAAAGCCACGTAGGAGCTCTACGAGACTTTACTACTTGGCTTTTTAGTTTTTTTATTTTGACACTTCTTGTTCTTAGTCAATCACAATAAAATACAAAATGTGACTGTGTTATTGTGGATTTTGTTACTCTTTTATTCTTAAACTGTATTGTCAAGTAAAAATTCTTATGATGATTTGCAGTCTAATCCTAAAATGATAGTTTTATCCCACATTTCAAAGTTTTTGGTGTGGTTCATTTGGTAAGATAAAATGTTTAATTTGAAATAAAAGTTAACTTGGCTGGAAGGTTTTATTATTATTTTCAAAACTAAGTACAAAGTTATTAGGAAACCTTCAATGGCCAAATCAATGAAGATAAAGATGTCATCTTTGAGGAAGCCCTATGGGACTAATTAATCTATGGGTTTACCTTTGAATTGCTCTCTTTATAAATGCAAAAGTAGTACAAATATGTCAGACAAATATGATCTTTCTGTCTGGACAGTTACCTCTTTGCTAACACTAACACAACATGAGATAATTTCAATGTTAGACTTGCTAGCACCTACATGGACTTACCAATTGAATGACTATGTATTAACTTTGTGTTGTTTTCCCAAGTATAGTTTCTTTCATTTTGTTCATTAGAATTGATCAGAGTGAAAGGTGCTGAGCTAGTTATGAGATGTGGTTTCCAGACTGGGGTTTTTTGTTCATTTTTTTACTTTTAACTTTCCTGGGTTTCTGTTTTCTTATCCACAAGATGAGTGACTGAATGAGATGATTTCTAAGATAGCTTCCTAGTATTAAGCGCATCGGTTATATAATTTTTATATGGAAATATTAGCTTTTGTTGTTAGATAATGTTGTTTATTAAATCCCAGCTTATCAGATTAGTTTACTGTAGAGTTTTGATCTTTGTAAGACTGATAAGTAGCTGTATGCCGTATTCCTCAAAAGAATACACATGTTATTTGTGAAGAAGGTAAGTGGCTTAATATAGGCTCACTGCCCAGTTTTAGATGATATTTAAGTAAACATGTTCTTAATACCTGGTGAATAGTTTTACTTAAAGAAGTAAATCCAAGAAACTTCAAGGGAAAATCACTGGTTCTAATCAAATGCAATTCTTTTAACCTAGATGAAATTACAGAAGCCAAATCAGGGACAGCTACCCCACAGAGGTCAGGATCCGTCGGCAACTATCGAGCTAGCCAAAGGAACGATTCAGATGCTGACGCTCAAGGAAAACCCTCAGAAGTTTCTCTTACCTCATCTGTGACCTCACTCGACTCTTCTCCTGTTGACTTGGCTCCAAGACCTGGAAGTCACACAATAGAGTTTTTTGAGATGTGTGCAAATCTAATCAAAATCCTTGCACAGTAAATCTAAAATTATGCTTATTTCTTTGATAGCAATAAGCATGCATAATAAATAACAGCTGAATACTTCCATTTGCAATCAAGTTATACATAATTATAATTGGGGAATTAGCCTTTTAGAACACAGTTTGCACAGAGATTGGAACATGAGTGGTAGGTAGGAGCCTAAGGTGCAGAAATGAAATGAGAACATTTTGTTGTTTATTGTTCAGCAGGCATCTATCATAATATAATATATGTACAAGAATTATAGGTTTCTCAGGCTCACTTGATTTTTTTTTTTCTGTTTTAATTTTAGTGTACACAGGGCTTCACAAAATATTAATTTACCATAGGGCTTTCATGTATTATTACATGTTGATATGTTATATATTGCTTCATTTTTTTAATTCAATAAATAGTTGCTTAGAATCCCCAGTGACCATTTTAGGTGATTTTATTTAACGAACTTCTTAACTTTTTAAATGGCTGGTATTTTCTAGTAGTAGTAACAGTCTGGATGACTTCTTCCATATCTCCTTCTTAAAATTCTATGCTATATCTTAAGACATATTGAAAATTAGACTCAATTAAAAATTTTTTTCCTTTAGCCTAGGAAGTCCAAAGTTGCAAATAATTTTTATATTCAGGTACTTTAGGCACTGAATTTAACCTTACAGTTTACCCTGCTATATTGTGTATATAAACTGCTCTTTTTGCTTTAAGAGCCGAGCTGCATATAACTGTAAATAAATGATGCTGTTTTGCTAATTTCATAAATTCTTCTGGCTCATCATGTCAGCCAGTATTGAATGTATGCAAACATTTCTAAATGATTTGGTTATGTGTCTTTTAAATTGAGTGCATAGAAAAAAATGATCTCTCACAGACTTTAAATGCTTTGATCTGCCTTTTGTCCCTCAGTCTTCATGTGAGCATTTGCCTCAGCAGAAGTTGGAAGACTGCAGCGTGATCACCTCTGTACCTGCCACTCGCATCCAACAACTGATACTTTTTTTGCCATATCTGTTTTCTGTATAGGTAAAGGAAGGCTTTAAACAGTTCATGCGAAAAGGGAATTAGATAACATGAATTTTGCATATTTTTGAAGCCTCCTCATATATGTATAAATGTGTGTATTTACATGCTTTTTTTACCCCTGAACCCAAAGGATGCTACACATTTATCACTCCTAAATACTTCAAGCATCTCCAAAAATAGGGACATTTTACTGTGACTCCATAGTGACAATTAGTAATTCTTTAGTGTCATCTAAATCTTAACTCATATTTTTATTTCCCTCATGGTTTAGCCCATTGCTTTTATAGTTGGGTATCTCAAAACAGGGTCCAGTTATTTTAACCATAACATTTGGTTACATTTTTAATCATATATAACATTATTTGATAGGAGGTAGAACAGAACAGTTTTAAATGTTCACATTTTTTAGGTTTCAGTTTTTTTTCTTTTAAAGATTTATTTATTTTTTTATTGGAAAGTCAGATATACAGAGAGGAGGAAAGACAGAGAGGAAGATCTTCCGTCCGATGATTCACTCCCCAAGTGAGCCCAATGGCCAGAGCTGCGCTGATCTGAAGCCGGGAATCAGGAACCTCTTCCGGGTCTCCCACGCAGGTGCAGCGTCCCAAAGCTTTGGGCCATCCTCTACTGCTTTCCCAGGCTACAACCAGAGAGCTGGATGGGAAGTGGAGCTACCGGGATTAGAACCGGTGCCCGTATGGGATCCCGGCATGTTCAAGGCGAGGACTTTCACCACTAGGCCATGCCACCGGGCCCTAGGTTTCAGTTTTTAAAAAATTTCTTTGAGAGGCAGACAGACAAGAGGGCACACAATTCCCATTCATTCCTGAAATGCCTGCTATGGTGGGGCTGGGGAAGGCAGAAGCAGGAATTCAACCGAGGTCTCCCCCGTGGGTGCCAGGGAACCAGCTGGCACGCGATCACCTTTTGCCTCTGCAGGTTCTTTGTTAGCAAGAAAGCTGGAAACGGGAGCAGAGGGAGATTGAGAACTCCAGCCCACAGATTTGGCACGTGGGTGTCTTGACAGGCCTAAAAACGCTTAACCTTCCTAAGATCTAAGATTTATGTTTTCTTTTTCCTCGCTTATTTATAGCATCATATAACAGGTATACATAAGAACTTAAAGTTGCCTCAGATAAGACTGGTATCATGTATGTTAATAAAAGATGGGTATCATCCCTATTTGCCTTACATTATTTAAAGGTTTTTTTTTTTCGTTTTGATATTAACCATTTTCGCATTGCAACAGTTATTTTATTTCAAGTAGCACTGCATTTAAGATTTCTTTTGGGCAAATATACTGAGCACCTCTATTCCCAGATAATTTACTCAGATGTCGTAACTTGTATAAGTGATTACTGTAGTTGTAATTTTGACTCTAGCATCTCTAAAATCATGCACTGAATTCAAGGAATAATCTTGCTTTTTTTTTTCCTTCAGGGGTTGTTATATTGGATTTTGAATTTGAAAGCTATTTAATGGAAGTTCATGTTAAATGTGAGTTCAAAAGTGTATTTATGACTTGTATGTGGCTGTTTCTTTTGAGGTTACTGATAACACTTAGGCTGTCAAAATGCAGCATTATGTTCCTGATGTTAAGAGCAGAAGACTGTATTTTTAAAAAAAGTTACAGAATTGTATATAGAGCTAAGTAATGTCTCTTTAAGCTGTTATGCGTGTATGTGTGTGTGAAGGGGGTTCAAAAGAGGAATGAGTTAAATAGGAACTTCTAAAATTTATTAATTTTGTAAACTTTGCATTCTTTATAAGTTATTGTGATTCCTTTTAGTTACTGAGTTTTATTTTGAAGATATTTAAATATTGCACTTGTATAAATAGTACAAAAATGCACAGACTATTGCAGTAAATTCTTTTTTAAGCTAGGATATTTGAAATGACAACTTTTGGTTAAGTGTATGAAGATTGAAATAGAATTTTCACAAATTTATTGCAGTTTGCAAATTCTTACTAATTTTGATGATATAAAGGGAGTCAATGCAAATGATTTTTAATCTTTTTTTATTTTTTCAGGCAATTTATATTTTTTGCAACCATATTTTTACTTTGTCTTGACAACTGAAAGATGTATAAGGTCCTTGACAGAAATGTACTGTATACATAGTTTTAAATATAACAGATTTTACTGATCTGTAAAGATTTTGCCATTAAAATTGATTTCTCGTTGAGAGGAGCTTTTCTACCAGGTTGGGGCATATGGGAGCTTAATATGTCACATCTAATTTAAAATAATGTCACTGAAACAAATAACCATTATGTTTATTTTGATTGTTTTCATATGATGCTTTTATACTTTATCTCAGAGTTTTAGATAATTTTATACAAAATTCTTCCTTCCTGTTCTTCCACTGCACTTTTTGATCCTGCAGTAATACTGAGTGAATGCAGGGTAACCTGTGGCTGGCTGAGTCCCACGCAGCACTGGTCCCTTAGGAATGAAAAAACAAAGTGTGTTGTCTGGATCTTCAGTTCTTTACCTCCTTCCCTTATCTCCCATCCACAACAAAAATATCATTTTGTTTGTGAGTTCTCCTGACAGGATGAAGTTCCACATGCATCATAACTACATTGCTAGAAGGCTAGAAATCAACTTCCTGTGGTTTATGTTTTGATTGAAGTATATAATTCTAAGTACTTTGATTTAGAAAGATGGTCTAATAAAGACAAACTTCATTTTTCATCTGTTACAATGTCTTATTTACCTTCTGAGAAACTTACATGGGGAACGGAAGCTTGCTCAGTGGCTGCAGATCTGTACGCATCTTCCTTAACAATGAACTTGCATATAAACACTGCACTTGTCAAATCTTAGCATCTAAACATTGCCATCCCTGTCACAACTAAATAGTCTTGATCTCACCTAAAAAAACGCCTCAAGAGTATACTCAATCCATCACATAAAAGCAAAAGCAGCTACCATTTATCAGTTGCTAATACCAGATTTGGTTAGGATTATACTATAGTCAGAATTCATTTAGGATTAGATCTGGCATCCCCACTAAGCCAGTAGACCTTGGGAAGATTTTCTCAACCCTGGAGCAACAAAACCAACAACTTCTCAGAACTATCAGAACCACCCTGAAAACATCCTTCCCCATATGGGGTCTCAGCTGCCATCAAATGAACATCCCCACCCCCGGGCACTCACGTGAGCCACCCTAATTGGATGTCCACATGGGTGTGCATCCCTCACAACTCTATAAACAATATTCAAAATAAAATTTAAATCTGGTATCTCGAGGGCATTGTTGAAATTTCATTTGAAAAGACAATATTTACTGTAAATAAGCTTTTAATTACTGCAAATGCTAATAAAATTTAACTAATAGTGTTTTTAGCAACTTGAAAGATAATTATGTTTAGAAAAAGATGGCATAGTGAATGAATCAATAGGTGAGTCCAGGTCATGGCCAAGAGTAGAGAAGTAGTGGGTGAATTGTAAAAACTTAGTTGGTGGGGAGACCCTACTTTAATAGCGTGATGTGGATTTAAGTTAAGTCATCTTGCAGATTTTGGGAAAAACTCCTGGGAACAGGCATAGTATCAGGCACCATTTAATTATTTACTCCTCAAACTACATCCCCTCACTGCAGTATGAACAAAGCACTGTATGATAGAAATCTTAGGGAATTTGATTTTTTAAAAAAGGTTTATTTTTATTTGGAAGGCAGATTTTACAGGGAGAAGGAGAGGGAGAGGGGCAGAAGAGGAGAGAAAGAAATAGGCCTTCCATCCACTGGTTCATATAGCCTTAATGACCAGAGTGAGCTGATCTGAAGCTGCGAGCCAGGAGCTTCTTCTGGGTCTTGCATGTAGGTGCAGTGTCCCAGGTCTTGGGCCCTTTCCCGCTGTGTTCTCTGACACATCAGCTGAGAGCTGGATTGGAAGTGGAGCAGCTCTGGCTGCAATAGGTACCCATATGGGATTCTGCATCGTAGGCAGAAGCTTAACTTGCTATGCCACAATGCTACTTTTTTTTTTTTTAAGCAATAGGCTCTTTTTGGTGATTTTCAAGTTCTCTTTAATATACAAGTCTGAGAAACCATGGTCTTTAAAAATGAAAGTTGTGACTTGCTTCTTGGCCTTTTGGCTAAGATCAAGTGTAAAAATAAAAGCTGTGTTCCATGAAGAAATTATCTATGTGACAAGTGTTTTTCCTTCAGACAGCACATTTTGATGGGCAGAACTACTTGGAGTTCTCATCAGAAGTTTCTTTTTTTTTAAGATTTATTTTATTTTTATTGGAAAGGCGGATATACAGGGAGGAGAGACAGAGAGGAAGATCTTCTGTCTGATGATTCACTCCCCAAGTGAGCACAATGGCCCATGCTATGCCGATCCAAAGCCAGGAACCTCTTTCAGGTCTCCCGAGCAGGTGCAGGGTCCCAAAGCTTTGGGCCGTCCTTGACTGCTTTCCCAGGCCACAGGCAGGGAGCTGGATGAGAAGCAGGGCCGCTGGGATCAGAACCAGCGCCCATATGGGATCCCGGGCGTGCAAGGCGAGGACCTTAACCACTGCGCCATTGCGCCGGGCCCGGGAAGTTTCAATAAAAAAAAATTTCTGCTTTAAATCAAAACATCTTGATAATTTGTAAAGTTTTATTTGAGCTTTTTTTTTTTTCCCTTCCACTTTTTTTTTTCATTGATTTTAAAGCAGCAGAAAGAGAGATCTTCCATCCATTCATTGGTCCACTTCCTAAAAGCCCCCAACCAGCCAAGGATGTGGGAGGCCAAAGCGGGGAGGCAGGATCTCCAGGCAGGTGTCCTGCTGTCACAGGAGCCCACACAGGGAAGCCATCACCTGTGGCCACTCAGGGAGCGCCTCAACAGGAAGCTGGACAAGAACTGGATGAGATGTGCGTGTGGCAACATTTTTTTTTTTCTTACTGTCAGCGAGTGGTGGCCAAGAACGCACAAGGCCAGCAGCACATTTCCTGGTGCCGAGTGCCAGCGGTGTGATTCCCTCCAGCCTTGCATTCTCACCGCCGGGACAATGTGTCAAGGTGGTGAGAGGGGCTACAGAGGTCACGATGTTCGGCTGCACATCACTTCAGATCAGGGTTTGCACCCGTGACTCTGGCCGCTGCAGTGGGGCACAGCTTTTCCTGCAGACGCGTATTTGTTGTTAACTTTGCAGGGAAACCATCAGCCTGTCAACTAGCACTGGCCACGGGAAAGCCAGTGCCATGCAAGGGGCACACCTTGCCACACCCGGGCAGCTCTTTCCCTCAGCTGAGGTGGAGAAAACCTGATGTCCAAAAATGAATCTTTACTTAAAAAAAAGAAAAAGAGCGGGGTCTGGAAACGAACGCGTTTTTCAGATACACCTGCGTGACAGTTGCCTACTGATTTTCAGGACAGGACCTCACAAATACTTTAAGATATTAAATCATTCACAAGTAATTCCCTCTTCTGGGTCCCACTCATTCGTCGCTGCCACGGAAGCCTACGGTTCAGTCGCCACTCCCCCGTCCCCCTCGAGTCTGGCTTCTCTGTCTTCTGTGTCTCGCGGTTTCCTTAGTCCCACTGTAAGCTCTAACACCGCACGACCATACCTGACTCCTTTCCTCCTCGCCATCTCTTTGCCCGGCCCTGCCTCGCGCGCGCCTCAGACCGGGCGGCCGCGTTTTCACGCGCTCACGCACGGCCGTCTCCCGTGCGCCGGGAGCCTCGGGCGGCCGCGAGAGGGCGCACCGGGTCGGGCGGTCCTGGACTACAAATCCCGAAAGGCAATGCGGCGGATGGGCCGCAGTGGCTTCGGGGATGGCTGCTCCGAGGAAAGGCTTGGGCGCCGGGGATACGCGAACAGCGGTCTCCCTCAGGCCGCTTTCTGTCGGGGGGGTTGGAGGCCCTCTGGGGGTGCGCTCAACCCTCGTCGTGAGAAACTAGGGAAGAAAGGCCGGCGGGTAAGTGCATGGTAACGGGAGGGAGGGGTGTGTGTGGGGTGGGCGGGAGAAACGAGTGACGATTTCCGCTTCCTCGTGTCAAAGGGTAAGCGGAATGTAAACTGTGGGCCGCGGGTGTGTGAGGCCGTCCGGCGCGCTGCGGGAACCTGAGCAAGAGGAGGAGAGCGAGACGAGTAGGTGGTGTGGTGAGGGCAGGAGGGCGCTTCACCAGGGGCAGTTGGCGGAGCCGGACCGTCCGGCAGGGGCCCGAGGGGCGGGAGAGCTCGGGGGTCGGGCCTGCTCATGCAGCGCGGGCGCACGACGGGCTGGGGCCGCTGCGTGACCCTCGGGTCGTCGGGGGTGGGAGCAGGGTCGCCAACACTGGCCCTTCCCTGGCGACGTCCCGTGGGTCGTTTCCCGAATCCCTCTGCGTCCACCCCGTGTGCCCTTCGGGCTGGGCTTTCCTGAACCTGTTCCACCCGTGGCTTTTCGCCGTGGGCGTCTCCTTCCCTCGGGGGGCGATGCCCAGCCTGCGCAGTGACCGTGCTGCCAGGCTTGACAACGACCTTGAGCATTTTTTTTGTGGCTTTCGTGGAATGTTATTCCGTGTGGAATGTGGAACTTGGGCGCTCAAGGTGAGCGTGAAGTCTGCGTGAGGTTTACTGGGGTGGAGAACGCTTCAGTACAGGATGTCTGCCTTCCGTGCAATGGGATGTAGCTTCAGGAAAACCTCCTGAATGTTTTAATTCCATCTTGAAATAGCCTTATAGGAGCAGTCAACGCATATGACTGAATATATCCATTCGTTAATGAAAATAGATTGATTGAGATGTCATTCATACTTCGTGCCCGGCAGCCGTTTGAAATATGTGGTCCTTGGTTTGCTGAATTGCACAACCACCATTGTAATCAATTCTAGAACATCTAGATGCATAAGAAACTCCATGGAGTTCATAATAGTCTTTCCTTGTTTCTAACCACTCTCTGCATTTACACTGTCGGCCTACAGAGCCTGGTGTGGTAGCCTAGTGGCTAAAGTCCTTGGCTTGCATGCACAGGGATCCCATACAGTTGCCTGTTCGTGTCCCAACTGTTCTGCTTCCCTTCTGGCTCCCTGCTTGTGGCCTGGGAAAGCAGGGGAGAATGGGCCAAAGCCTTGGGGCCCTGCACTCATGTGGGAGACTCAGAAAAAACTCCTGGCTCCTGGCTTCGGATCAGCTCAGCTCTGGCCATTGCAGCCACTTGGGGAGTGAACCAGCAGATGGAAGATCATTCTCTCTGTCTCTCCTTCTCTCTGAAAATCTGACTTTCCAATAAAAATAAATAAATCTTAAAAATATATATCTGAGACCACCTGGAGTGTTCAAGTTTCCCAAAAGGAAGGTGTTTGGCATGTGTTGCCTGACTTTCCCTGATTTCAAGGCTGGCTGACTTAGTCTTCCAGACTGGGGCTGCAGGTGACTTCTCTGACTGCTCACAGCATCCTTTGTTACTCTCTTGTACCTCTCATTCTGTACTGGAGTTGACTACTCCTGTGCTCTGCAAACACTTGGCCTGCTTCTTGCTCTAAATATTTACTTATCTGAAATGTAAAATGCTGTAGAGGAAGAGACAGAGAAAGAGATCTTGCATCCACTAATTCATCCCCCAAATGACCAAAACCCTTGACGCCAGGAACCTGGAGCTTTGTTTGGGTCTTCCATAGGGGTGGCATGGCCCCGGTACCATGTTCTTTAGCCTTCCCAAAGGCATTAGCAGGGGACGGGTTCAAAAGTGGAGCTGTTGGGGCTGGAACTAGGTTGCTGCTGTGCGCTGCCTGTGTTACAGGCAGCAGCCCAGCCTTTTGTGTCACCATGTGGGCCCATCCACACACTTTTGAGAAAAATTAGAAAACAGTGCTAATAGCCTTGATAGGCACTCTGTGCTCTTTGGACTCAGTTGGCTCTCAGTACTGTTTGATTTATTCACTCATTTCTTATCAATGTTTTTCTGGTTTCTGGGGTGAATATTTCAGCTATCTTTTTTCTGAAGGGCTCACCCATATGTGTGCCATTCACCTTAGGGAGATGTCTGGCCTCCAATTTGCTTGAGAAATCCTGCATTTCTCATCCCTGCTGCCTTGAGCTTTTCACTCAGTGCTAGCGCCTTTTCATCCCTCACTCCGGGGTGCAGTGTGTCCCTTTTTCCTGTCGTCAGGTCTCCTGTACCTTGATAACCCGATCCTGCTCTGCGAGCCTCTTATCTCCAGCAGATCTCTGGAGATTTGCAGAGAGCTGAGGCAGTGTGTGTGAGACCTTCTCTGTTTGGGTCACCACATTGGGCTTAACCTGTGCCTGGCCTCAGCATTTCTGTTCATGGTAAGCTTAGAGTTGGAAGACAGAGAAGCAGGTGGTTTGAATGTTCACATTTTTCTTTTCTTCTGCATCGTACCTCTGCTTCCAATAATCACAGACCGGACCAGTGCTATGTAATTGATAATTTAGTATAATGATATTATGTAAATTAAGCCCAGAACTTGATCTGGGTCTTCGTCATGGTTGATGGGGCCCCCGGTACCTGGGCGATCACCTGCCACTTCCCAGGTCCACGTTAGCTGGAAGTGGGAATGGGAAGCTCAGCTGGGGCTTGAACCCGGGCATCCTAGTCCTGGGCAGCAGGTGTCTCCTGTGTCTGAACCCGTGTCATTCCTGTTGTCTTCGGGACAGTCGTAAATAACACTTTGGGCATCTTCTGAGGTCTTTCTAGTAATCACCCTCCTGGGCCTCAGTCTCAAGTTTCTACCATTTTTGGTTTTTACTCCTTGGATACTTGTAATAGTCAAACATAAAAAAATGTATCCGTCCGTTTTATAGTGGGTCTGGAGGGAGGGTATGTTTTGTCTAATTCCCTAGTATAGTTTATAATCTGTTACTCTGCTGAAGTGTTCTAAAAACACCTGCTTGTCGGGTTGGTTCTGTGACTACAGCTGGAGCTGAGTCCATCCAAAGCCAGGTCTTCCACACAGTGCAGGGTCCCAGAGCATTGCGCCATCCTCTACTGCTTTCCCAGGCCACAAGCAGGGAGCTGGATGGAAAGCAGGGCAGCCGGGATACGAACCAGCACTCATGTGGGATCCTGGTGCATTTAGCTACTGAGCCATCAGTAAAACTTTATGCCAGGCTCTAAAACTTTATCATGGAGAATTATAGCATATATGAAAGAACGTTAGGTCATATGTACTTATCACCCAACTTCCTGATTTTTCAATTCAGAGAATTATTTTTCTTAAATATTATTTATTTGAAAGACTGTCATATAGAGAGATGGAGAAACAGAGCCCTTCTGTCCACTGGCTCACTGTCAAATGGCTGCAGTGGTCTTGCCTTTGCTGGCCAAAGCCAGAAACCTGTGCTCCGTCTGGATCTCTCCCAAGGTGTCAGGGACGTTTTGCACTGCTTTCTCAAGCACACTGGCAGAGATTGGGAATGGAAGAACAATTGACACTCCAGCAGTACCTAGTGGAATGCTGGTGTCACAGGTGGTGCCTTAACCCGCTATACCATAACACCAGCTCCCCAAAATCATCTTGTTGTTGAAAGGCAGGTTTATAGAGAGAAAGAGGGACAGAAAAAAAGTTTTTTTCATGTGCTGGTTCATTCCCCAAATAAACACAAAGCTGAGCAAATCTGAAGTCAGGAGCCCAGGAGCTTCTTTCCGGGTCTCCCGTGCAAGTTCAGGGGCGAAAGGACTTGAGCCATCCTCTGCTGCTTTCCTAGGTCATAGGCAGGGAGCTGGATGTGAAGCGGAGCTGCCAGGACTTGAGTAGGCACCTTTATGGGATCCTAGTGCCACAGGTGGAGGATTAGCCAGTTAGGCCACGGCCCTGGCCCCAAACCAGTATTGTTTCATCTGTATCTTTACTGTATTCCCCACTTCTGCTGATTACATTGGAATAATTCATATATAGTATATCATTTCAAATGTTCAATTTTAATTTGTATTACTAAAAGTTAAATTTTTTTGTTTTAATAATCAAAGTCTCAGTGCTATTGTGACACACAGAAAAGTAGTATGTCAGATGTAAGTGTTCCCAGTTTTCCTATTTTCTTAGGTGGTTCCTCCTCACTGATTTTTGTTTTTGAGTCATGAGCAAAGCAGGAGTTACACATGTTTGGTTAGTGTGTTTCTGAGGTCTCTATTGATTGAGTAGTAAATTATTTTCCTCTTTGTCCTGGCAATTTATTGAAGATCCCAATTTTGTTTAGTTTTAATTTCATGACATCTACATCCCAGAGTCATCACTGAGCATGTTTACTTGTATTTCTTATTTTTTGTCATCTGTTATGGACTTGCTCTAATTGAAGATTACTTTTCCAAGAGTACTTCCTGTGCTGATGCGCCATTTCACGTGGAGGAGCAGGATATTCAGTTCCATTTCCTTGTGATGTTAGCAACCAGTAATGATTATCTCCCAAATCCACTAAGTAGGGGTTTAAAAGGGTGATGTTCTTTTTCTGTCATGCCTTATTCGCCTGTTGGTTGTCATAGTTCTGGAAGAGTCCAAGCTTGAATTTTAAAGCTTTCACTTTTTTGTGGTTTTCCAGGATGGCGTCCTTTGGGTGGAAGAGGAAAATTGGTGAGAAGGTCTCCAGGGTCACTTCGCAGCAGTTTGAAGCAGAGGCTGCGGACGAGAAGGAGGCCGTGGAGAGTGAGGAAGGGGGGTGGCTTCCCGCCGCGAAGCGCAGGAAGGAAGTGCTGCTTGAAGGCTGTGCTGAGAGGAGTAAACAGCTGAAGGATGAAGGAGCCAGTCTGGCTGAAAACAAAAGGTGTGTTTTTAGGAATATTGTGTGGACAACGGTTTACATTTTCTGACCCACTGTCAATAATTAGGTGAAGAGTCATGAATGCTAGAAATTGTGTTTCTTAAATCTAGTCTAGGTACTAAATGAATTCAAGAAATGAAGCATATTAGACTTACCTCAAAATTCTCCTGATCAGGAAGAAAATCAGTTTGTAAGAGTCTTCCATGTGATTGCAATGTGTGTGCTTTGCCGAGTGAAACCTAACCCAGTGCACTGTTAATGGGATGTGCCAGATCCCCCAGGAGCCTCCTCCTTAGGCGATCATTAGTCGGTAGGTTGGGCATTTCCTGAATGCGTTTAGGGGCATATACGTTAAAAACTTTTTTTTGACAATCCTTTATCATCTTAGGTGAATGTGGTTTTATACATACATCCTTTATTCAGTGCTCTTCCTTAACTACATTCGCATGGATTCTCTTTATATACTTGTTTCTTGTTGTTGCTTTTCTTTTTAAAAATGATTATTTATTTGAAAGGCCATGTTTACAGAGAAGGAGAAACAAAGAGAAAGGTCTTCCACCTGCTGGCTCACCTACGTGCTCACAAAGGCTGGAGCTGGGCTGGTTGGAAGCCAGTGGTTTCTTTAAGGTCTCCCATGTGGGTGTCAGGGGCCCAACACCTTGGGCCATTTTCTGCTGCGTCCTCAGGTGTGCTAACAGGGAGTTGGATCAGAAGTGGAACAGCTGGGACATGAAGTGGCACAGTCTGGGCTGCCAGAGTCCCAGGTGGCAGTATTATTGCTGTGTCACATAGCCGGCCCCTCAGGGTTGTTTTCTTCTCTAGTTCTTGTGTCCTTGTTCCTCTCTCTGTCCTCTGTCCCTTTCAGTGGGACTGAATTTATACTTCGGTCAAGAAGAAAAAGATAAATTGCTCATTAAGTTGTATTCAGAAAATGAGATCATTATATGGAACAAAGGAAAACTAAATCTACTTCTGTTAGCACATATAAAGATGGATTTTAGAGGATTAAATATAAATATGAAAATTAAAGCAGTCTGTTAAAAGATCAAGAAATAGAGGATATGTTCATCATCTAGGTAAAGTGACACACACATACCCCACACACACACACATCCACACACACACACATCCACACACACACACACACATCCACACCCCCCCACACACACATCCACATACACACATCCACACACACACACATCCACACACACACCCATCCACACACACACCCACACACACACACATCCACATACACACATCCACACACACACACATCCACACACACACACACATCCACACACACACACACATCCACACCCCCCCCACACACATCCACACACACACACATCCACACACACACATCCACACACACATCCACACACACATCCACACACACATCCACACACACATCCACACACACACACACATCCACACACACACCCACACACACACACACACCCACACACACATCCACACACACACATCCACACACACACACATCCACACACACACACATCCACACACACCCCCCCCCCCACACACACATCCACACACACACATCCACACACACACACACACATCCACACACAGACATCCACACACACACACATCCACACACACACACATCCACACACACACATACCCCACACACACACACATCCACACACACACACACATCCACACACACACACATCCACACACACACACATCCACACACACACACATCCACACGCACACATCCACACACACACACATCCACACACACATACCCCACACACACACACATCCACACACACACATCCACACACACACATCCACACACACACATCCACACACACATACCCCACACACAGAGGTCTGTCTACTGGTACACTTGCCAAATAGCTGCTGCAGCTGGACTGAGGCAGCTCATAGCACAAGCCTGGAACTCCCTCTAGTTCTCACATGCAGGTGGCCGGGGCCCTAGCACTTGGGTCATCTTGTGGAGCATTCCTAGGTACATTAGCAAGGAGCTGGAATGGAACTGGAGCAGCCAGAACTCCAGCCTGGTGTTCATGTGGGATGCCAGCATCACAGGTCCCGGTGTAACATGCTGTACCACAGTACTGACCCCTTAAAAACGCTTAATAGATACACTTGTAAAATTGTTTAATTAGTTTTGGTTTTGCTTTGTTCAGCTGACTTGTTTGAGAATAAATTGTACACCTTGTGACTACTACTCCTAATTTAACATGCTTCTAAGAATAAGGATTTTTCTTTTTAAGATTTATTTATTGTTATTGGAAAGGCAGATATACAGAGAGGAGGAGAGACAGAGAGGAAGATCCTCTGTCCAATGATTCATTCCCCAAGCAGCCACAACAGCCGGAGCTGAGCTGATCTAAAGCCAGGAGTCTATTCTGGCTCTCCCACATGGGTGCAGGGTCCCAAGGCTTTGGGCCATTCTCTACTACTTTCCCAGGCCACAAGCAGGGAGCTGGATGGGAAGCGGAGCTGCTGGGTTTAGAACTGGCGCCCATATGGGATCCTGGCGCATGCAAAGCCAGGACTTAAGCTGCTAGGCTATCATGTCAGGCCCAGGATTTTTCTTTCTTAACATGCCATTATCAAATTTAACCAAATTTACAATTATATAATTTCAGTTCATAGTTAGATATTTTTAGTTTTCCCATGAGAGAGAGTGTGTGTGTGTATATGTGTATGTTTTAAAACCAGGATCTAAACCATATTATATTTGATAATTGACTTTTAATCTGTTCATGTTCAACTGCTACTTTAATCCCCTAATACACTGACATTGTTTTTAGGAGTCCAGACCAGTGTATTATTTATCTGCTTCCTTGTGTACCCTATTCAGCTTGTTTTATTTCTCAAATATTTTTTAGAAACTGAGTTACCTTACAGATTTGATTTAGAGTCTCATCATTTTTGGCAAGAGTATGTTCTAAGCAATGTTTGTACTTTCTGTTGCATCATTTTGGTACATGAATGATGTTAGTTGTTGTCTGTTAGTGTAGCCATTGCAAAGAAACTGTACCCAAGTCCTTCTTTACGCTGTCTACTGACTGTCATGTTTTCATACAAGTGTTAGTATTTCATTATTTTTAAAAATTTTCTTTATTTGAAAAGTGGAGTAACAGAGAACGGGAGAAACAGAAAGGGGAGGGAAGGAAGAGAAACTGGTGTATTCCAGTTGCTGGTCCATTCCCCAAATGGCCTTCCAGCCCCCAGACGAGACACAGGTTGATTCCAGAAGCTTTGGTCTCCATCTGGTCTCTCACTTGGGTGTCAGGTGCCCAAAGACTTAGCTCATCTTCTTCCTTTCCTGATCCATCTTCAGGGAGCTGGATCAGAAACAGAGCAGCTGTTATTATATTATATAAATGCAAATATTACAGGTGGCAAAGTACTTATTGGTGAAGAAAATGTATTAGCAAAATTTCTTTCATAAAATGAGAATTACTGATTCAATTGCATTGTATCCATGATTTTTTTGAAGGATATATCTATTACCAACATTCTTTGATTGGGACAGAATATTCTTCACATCCCAGATATCTAAGATGAGACCTATGTGTCTTGGGGTGGTATCTTGCATGTGGTATTGAATACTTTGAGAAATTAAAAGAAAACGGAGCAGTAGTACTCAAGAATCATACTTCCGGGCCCGGCGTGGTGGCGCAAGTGGTTAAAGGTCCTCACCTTGCACGCCCGGGATCCCATATGGGCACCGGTTCTAATCCCGGCAGCCCCGCTTCCCTTCCAGCTCCCTGCCTGTTGCCCGGGAAAGCAGTTGAGGACGGCCCAAGGCTTTGGGACCCTGCACCCGCGTGGGAGACCCAGAAGAGGCTCCTGGCTTCGGATCGGCATAGTATCGGCCCGTTGCGCTCACTTGGGGGGTGAATCAATGGACGGAAGATCTTCCTCTCTGTCTCTCCTCTCTGTATATCCGCCTTTCCAATGAAAAAAAAAAAAAAAAAGAATCATACTTCCTCCTTTTTCCTCCTCCCTTCCACCCTTCGACCTTCCTTTTTTTCATATATGAATCAAAATTGAATAGCTGGACAATACTTTTAAATCTGTTATTTTTTGATTGTTTTTAAAAATATAAGCAAAATGGTGATTATACTACAGTGTATTAGGATCTCAGATCGGGAATGAAGGGTAGGGAAGTGAAGAACAATGAAGATCAGTGAACATTTTGACAATGTTGGAGCGTGAATTTATGATATTTTTGGCATAAAGACTTTCTTCTTGCAAAAAGTTTACAAGATTGGCCATTCTGTGTTAGGAGAAAACCAACTGTAAACTTTCCAGATTTATGAAATCACTTTCAGAACATCCATAAAACATCTTTAGAAATTCCTGTAAATGCCTGTTAAAAGTTCATTAACTGTTGTTTTTGCCCTTACTCCAGACCACATGAGTGTGTAGAAGGGAAAAGCTGTTCAGTTATTGCCCTGGGATTCTCTCTGAATTTCCTGCTGCAGAAGAGAGAGATCAACGTTACAGATAAACAGAATAACTCTTGTTTCTGCCTACAGGCCAGAGCATTGAGTCATAATACTCGGATCAACTGGATTGCATATTGATTCGAGTGGAACACTCTGTGAGAGTGTTCTTCAGCATTTGCTTTTGGATAATGTATACAAAGCTCTAAAAGTAACTGAACAGATTCTACCAAAAGCATCCTGCAGAACTGAGTAGTTGGACCACTCTAAGGCTAATAGTTAAAAAATATCTGGAGCTATTGAACTTGAGTGAAGGTAATGTAAGGAGAAAAAATGAAGTTAAATAATAATAATAAAAAGACTTCCCTGCCCACCAGATCAACTTTACCTACTTTTCTTATTTCCTTCTTTCTTTCCTTTCAATATTTATTTATTTTTATTTGAAAGGCACATTTGAGAGAGAGAAAGAGAGAGATGATCTTCCATCTATTGGTTCACTCTCTGGTTGTCTAGAACGGTTAGAGCTGAGCTGATCTATAGCTGGCCAAAAGC